TCCCTGAGCATCTTCGGGGCTGCAGCCCCGGCGCTGGAGCTGGACCCGCCCCGGGCTCCGCTTCCAGGCCAAGAGCTCCGGAGGACGCCCCTCTGGCTGCGTCGAGCGCATCCTCTGCGCTCTGCTGGGGGGGGGGGGGCAAAGGGCTCCTAGGCACGTTGCCCCCTGAGACCCCTCTCAAGTTGGCACCTCCTGGCTTTGGTCCTTGCAGTTAACACAGAACGAACGGGAGGCTGGCATGCCGCAAACCAGAGCCTTCCGGATTGCAGGTAGACCCCAGGGCACTTGGGGAAAATAAAAAGGGTGGAGGGCTGCGGCCAGAGCTTTGAAAGGGTGCCCCCCGGCCCGGAAAAAAGGGTGCCCCCCTGAGTTGCCTGGTAGAGAGCATCCAGGGAGGAGGCTACCACGAACCAGGCTTAGTGGGGCTTGGGCATCAGGGCGGATTTGCAGCAGGGCACACCCCTCGGGGCAGCTGTTTGATTAGGGCATGCATGGATGCGGGGGGGGGGGCACTCACCCAAAGAGGTTATCCAGCCCAGCTGGGAGGAGGCTGTTTGGACTGGCCAGGGGCTCCAGCAGTGGGTCTTTCTGAGGATTGCTGCTGCACCTTTCACCAGCAAATGAGGGACTTCCCACCAAACTGTAATGAGATCAAGGTACAGTAGCAGCATCAACCCTCTGCAAGAAACTTCTGTTATTTTATTTATTTATTTATTTATTTATTTATATCTTTTTTTATTATCCCTTCCAGGAAGAGCTGAAAACAGAGCTCTTCCCAGTGGTATTTGGGACTTGATGTTTGGATTTGGGTTTATTTTATGTATGTCTTTAGGGTTTTTTAAAAAATGGTTTGAACATCGACCAGAGATGTTTTAATGGCTGTTGTATTCCTGTAAACCACCGAGAGTCCCGTGGGATGGTGGCGACGTATAACTGCAATAAATAAACAAACAAACCCGCAAACCTGGTCTGGGAAAACTTTCATACAGTTGTGTTTATCACGACCAAGTTTGCCCCCCTCCAAAATGGCCGTGCACCTGTCGTGAAACCACCAAAAGTTGGGGGGGGGAGTCAGGTGGTGAGGTTAGGTGGTCAGATGTTCTGCTGTGATTCCTTATTATTTTTAGCCTGTTTCTGCCATTCTGTTCCTCCAGGGTCAGCCTTCCCCAATACAGTGGCCTCCAGATGCCTCGGATTGCAACTCCCACAATCCCCAGCCCTAGCCACGCCGGTTGGAGATTATGGGAAATGTTGTCCGGCATATCTGAAGGGAGTAGTAGTATTTAGGGGTATGTGTCCTTGTAATAGTAATGAGTTTACTCAGAAAATAAATTCCTCTTCCCAGAATGATCTCCAGGAAGTGACATAGTGAGATCACAGGGTAGAAAGGGGCTGTATGCTTTGCATTCTGTCTTGACTAAAAATAACTTTACATTTTGCTAATAAAACACAAAATGATTTGCCAAGTTGTTGCAAAAACCTGGTTGAGCTAACTCCAAACTAGCTCTCTTTGCTGAGGACAAATTTATTAAAATTACATTCCTTTCCGTTGGCCTTCCTTGCAACTGCCAAAACAATTCTCAGGAAAGGGAGGGTCCTTTGAGCACTCTTATGTGACAGCTTTGTGAGTTCAGAACCAGCTCTGGATGTCCCTCATTCCATAATCTAGGCATTGTTTAAGAGCACCGTCATTTTAAACTGGAGCAAAATTAGTCTTTTGCCTGAAAAGCTGGGACTCCCTTGTGGAGTGTGTAGGCAGTCGGTTTCCTCCTTTGCAGGAACTCTTGCCTCACTCTGCCTCCCTACTTCTCAACTGCAGCTGCTCTTGCAGGTCTTCTAAGGGGAAAGGTGGCTTGGCAGCTTGGCAGCTTCTCCTCAGAGGAACCATTCAGATTCTTATTTGTATTAATGACCAAATGGATACAACATGAAGTAAGGCTATGGAGTGGGGGACAAGCAATTTCTATTAATTGCCTTTGGCATGGAGGGTACATGAAGAAATGTTTGTTTGGTACCTGCTGGAAGAGAGCAATGTTTTGTTGCTCCTTTATTTTACTGTTGTGAGGTTGCTGGATGAGAAGACAATCACGGCTTATCTTCAAACTACTTTTGAAAGACTGAGGAATCTAAATGGTGATGAAGGCTAGGCAATTTTTGCTGTGTTTAGCATTTTAGCATAGTAAAACATTGTAATTCTAAGCGGTTAAATTATTGTATTAAGATACTTGCAGAGTGGAGTTTCTTAAGGCTTTATTTTATACTTTAAGGAAGAGACATGTTTTATAAGATACTTTTTAAACCATGTCTTCTACAGCTGACATTTCTTGGAATGGAACAAGAAAAAAATACTGCAATTATTCAAGCAGGAATTAAAGTTTAAAATGATAAACTATCTGGAATGGTTTCCACTTTCTTCATATGCGTCACTGAGAGTACCTGTTATTCAGTGTCTAGTACATACAGTATGAATAAAGCCAGACTGGGAATTACTGTACGCGATCCTGTAAGTTTGTAGGAAGCAGACTGAACACATTGCGTGCAGTGGTTTGTAGGGTTTCAGCCAGAGGAGACGAGGATTGAACAGAGGGCACTGTCCCACCTCAGACTGAAATAATGTAAATTCTGAAACTCAGCCCAAACAAATCAAATTGCACTTGTTCGTTCATTGTGTATGTTGAGTGGCTGCATCCACTTGGCTAGAAATATGTGAATTCAAGCTCATGCAGAATTGGGGGGACAGACAGGACCAACAGAACTCTCTAGGCTTATCTAAAAAGAATTGCTTTACAACTGAAAAGGTGTTTTTTTAATGCAAATTTGTGGACTGCAAAAATGGCTGTGAAAGATTCCACTTCTCCTGCAGGGTCTCTACCATTCTGCTTCTGCTCTTACAAAGAGCAGCATCTTTTCTGGTGCTCTGTTTGCTCATATTTGGCCTCAGAATTCGGCAGGCAGAGTGAGGACCAGAGCAGGAATCACCTTTGTCCTGGCATCTTCTGTGTGGGAGGAGAAGGAATGTGCAACAGATGGAAAGAGGGAAAGAATGAGGTCTCCAGTAAGTGGAGTGGACATTTAACTCCTGTTTGCATTCTTCCACCTAAAATTCTCACAGTACATCCACCCACCCCCAGCATGTGAATGGGGTCACAGGACTGGAATAGTCACTTCATTTCTGTTTTAGCAATGTCTGTCAAAAGGAGAATGAACAATGAAGCAGGCAGGATCTTGGCAATTGTGTGAAGGAAACTGGGAAGATCCAGCCATTTAAGGACATCTCATTAATGCAAGCTCTGCTGACTGATGTTTTTACTTTAAATTTAGACTCTGTTTTTCCCGACATCGGGCATTTATTTATTATTTGGAAGGTTCTAATTGTTGGTTTTAACTCTGTACGCTGCCCAGAATCACTGCTGTGAAGTGGGTGGCCATATCAATCGTTTAAATAAATCAGACATTGAAATAAATTATAGCCAACTGATTGAGGATTTCTGCAAGTAAATCTGCGTGTCCTGGATTGGAACTCCATTCAGATTAGAAATAAACATTATTATCCCACTACAAAAGCAATAAAGAATAACATGGGCCACCAGTTTCTTTCAGCAAAAGGAAAGCGCGCAGTTCAGACTGCCACTGTTCCTTTTGTGATGCGGAGAAAAATTCAACATCGTGCGGTTTAAGTCAAGGCCTCTTTGTCTGTCTGCTCCGTGTTATTGGGGATATTTCTGTTCCACAGGTCAGACCATCTGCCGGGGAGGAACGCAGCGCCCCTGCTACAAAATTGTTTATTTTCATGATGTTATACGCAGGCTTGGCTTCCAGGAAGCCCTTCAAACCTGCAGAAGAGACGGCGGGGACTTGGTCAGCATCGAATCGCAGTCGGAACAGGGGCTGATAGAGAAGATGATCCAGAGTTATTCAGCATCTGATGGAGATTTCTGGATCGGGCTCAGGAGAGAAGACGACCCTGAGAACGGCACCCAGTGCCCACATTTATATGCGTGGACCGATGGCAGTTTGTCCATCTTTCGGTAAGCCAGAATGAGATGTTCCCCAAGAATTTAGCCAGTCAAGCTCAGGCTAACGATTTGCTTGTCCCCCCCCTACAGAAACTGGTACGCGGATGAGCCCTCCTGCGGAAGTGAGGGGTGCGTGGTGATGTACCACCAGCCTTCAGCCCCGGCGGGCGATGGGGGACGTTACTTGTTCCAGTGGAACGACGACAGATGCAACATGAGGAACAACTTCATCTGCAAATATTCCCAGGGTAATGTTCTGCACTTTGCTGTCGGGTTGTTGAGATTTGGGGGTGGTCATGATTGTCTCGTGGCTTTTGCAACCGCACAAATACTCAGGGCTTTGTTTCGCCTGAATTGAAAGCACTGCAATTCCAGGGATCTTCTACAAATATTTATGAATGATAAAATTTCACAGTATCCTGCAAAACCAGCATTTTTCTCCTAGATGCTTAGTCTTCCCATCTCTAACTCAACGTGAGTTGAATAGTTTTTCCATATCTGGAAGTGTGTCATAGAGAGTACCACAATTTAGAATGTGTAGACTATATGCTAACGCAGTGTTTCTCAACCTTGGCAACTTTAAGATGCGTGGACTTCAACTCCCAG